GAGACAGAGGTCTTTGCTGGGGGATACCAAAGCCTGATCACCAATGTTAGCCTAATTGCTCTGATTTCTTATTATTGGGGAATATGTGTTATTTATAAGTAGCAATTGGCATAAGGGAGCAATCACCTTTATATACAGAGGTCCCGCCTTTCCAGAGTACCAGTAACAGACACGCAGGTGGAGTTAGTTAAAATAAATGTCTTTTACTGTAGTTTTATGCACATTCAAACAATTCACAGACACACATACACTTATACAGAGCTAGGAAACTTAGAGAGATTGGGATAGCACATTCGCATTAGCAGGAGATTCGTTGGTTTGGCGATACTTTACCTGATCCTGAAGAGATGAAGTCTTCCAAATGGAAAATTAGGGGAATGCTAGAAAAATGGGGATTATGCTAGGAAAAGGGGAGTGTGCAGACTGAACCAGCAGAAAGCACATGGAGACTCTGGCTGTGCAGTCCAAGAGTCTTGAGGCAAGGTAAGTGGCAAGGTAGCCACAAGTTCAAGAGGCAGAGAGTATAGAGGTTGTTGGGGGGGGTAGAGAGAGCGAGCGCACGTTTCCGCATGTCACCTTTTATAAGGTGACAGGTCCCCACCCTTGGGGTGACATAGGGGGGAGGTCTTGCTGAACACCTCCCTTGAGACAGCCCCTCTGTGGTCTGCTCCAAGAAGTCACGTATGCCATGGAGGAAAGGGGTGTAGGTTGGACAATACTGAATGTTAATTAAGTTGGTAACAGAGACACCTGGATGGGACGTTGAGTCATCGTCTATCACTGATTGCTCCGTTTGTCTTGAGGCTGCAGGAACCGGTTCCTCCAGGTGGACATGCAAGCCAATCCTTTTGTTAAGGGACTGTGGAAGATGTTCCTTTGTGTTTGCTTTACAGCAACAAAGATGTTGGGGGGGGGGAACATGTCAGCCTTCTGAAGCAAAGTCACCTAATGCCGTTGAGACTTCATTGCTTAACCAGCAATGGCAAGCTGGCTGCTTGTGTAGTGCTTGTGGTGTGTATAGAAAAAGTCTCTGGAACAGGGCAGCCTCTTGGAAACCATGGGCACATCATCTCCGGCATCTGCTGGTGTGTGTGTCTGGCATCTCACTCTGGTTATCTGGCATCATAGTCCTTTTACACCCTGGTGCACAGTTTATAGTTCATAAGAGAGCAAAAAGCTCCTTGCTGGCTAATACAGTATCATCTGGTGATGAATCTGAGGCACTCTTGGAACTGTAACGAGAAACTGCGGAAACCTCTCTTCTTCAGGCTCATGGTACGGGGATCGGAATGGAACCAGCGTGGAGTAGGCCTCCACATATCCCCTTGTATTTGTGTCATGCTCCTCCAAAATTTCGGGGTGATATCCAGCCCATCTATTTAAGTAGGATGGCGACATATAGTAAGAATGCTGAGAAGGGCCCGCCAGTTGCCAAGATAAAGGAGGTCCTGATTCCGATGGTACCAGTTGTCCCACAGAGATACTAGGCTGGTGATCATCTGCATTCGAAAAGGAACTGACAAAGGAGGCTAGGTGAGGTAATAGGGAATGCGGGGAAACCAGGATGACGTCCTGGTCGAACTTCAGACCCTTAGAAGACTTGACACATGCTGACTTGGGAGTGGACTCAGTCTTTGAGAGCCAATTTGGTGTAGTGGTTAGGAGCAGCGAGCTTTAATCTGGAGAACCAGGTTTGATTCCCCACTCCTCCACATGAAGCCAGCTTGGTGATGGGTCAGTCACAGTTCTCTCAGAGCTGTTCTCTTAATAGCAGTTCTCTCAGAGCTCTCTCAGCCCCACCTACCTCACAGGGTGTCTGTTGTGGGGAGGGAGGGAAGGTGATTGTAAGCTGCCCTGACACTCTGAGTGAAGGGCAAGGTATAAATACAACTTTTCTTCTTCTGCCTCTTTCTCTTCTTCCATCTCCTCCTCCTTCTTGTGCTTTGATTTCTTATGCTTCATCACAGGAGGTTCTGAATGTTACTGGATCTTGGTCAAAGGTCCTGGAGAAGGTGAAAGTGGATGCCTAGATTCTGCCTCCGGGATTGGAGCTATCCTGATAATTGGACCAATGGGAACTAAACAGACTGATAGGGGGCCCGGAACAGGGTTCAGTAGTTGGGGCCGAGGGAAGCAGACCCAAGACAGTCGGAGCCAAACTAAGAATCACTCTGGACGGAGCCGAGGAGGGCAAAGCCTTCTCCCACAGCATGGCTTCAAACTAGAGGCCCTATCCAACCAAGCCTTCAGGGTAAAGTGCTGGAAAACTGGGCAAGTTCCAACCTTGTAGGCCTCGCCTAAACACAAAGGCAGAGATCATGCTTGTCACTGCACATAATTTCTGTTTCACATTTAGAACATTTTTAAAACAATGCCTTGGATGCCATGATGAGAGACCACAAGCACAACAGACAAGCAGAGCCCACTTTAAGATGGGGTTTGCCTCTCATGAGATAGACTCCTGAAGGTGTGAAAAACAATTCTTTGAAGGAAAAAAAGGAGTATACTTTTGTCAGTCCCAGGGTGCGCCCGTGGCTGGCCTGGGGGCTGGAGCAGGTCCACAGTCAGGAAGTCCAGGGCGAGGGCGAAGTCTCAGACCACTGATCAGGGGATGCTGGTTCCTTCACTGCCCCCTCCAGTTTCCAGTCCCTATTTCGGCGTGTCCGAGCGAAGCGGGCCCAGAGCCATGCCCTTCCTCCTTGCATCTGGCCTCATAGAGATCAGGTGTTTTCCTCCTCAGCTATCACCTAGTCTCTTTTTATCCTGGCCCCTCGACCCGCTCCTCCCTGTGCCTTAGAGCAGGTTCGCCATAGGGCTAAGGACAGGCCCCAGTTTGTACTCATTAAACCAACCCCACCCTTCTTTCTCCTGGTTGGGCCATCTTTGCTGCAGGAAGTGATTTCCCCCTCCCCTGTGGCCCCCTTTTGCTGTTGGGCTCCCTAGTGCCGGTCTGTAGGGGAGGATCCCCAGGATCGGGAATTCCCAGGCTGTTGTCATGGGGGGGTCCTCCCCGCTCAGCCTTTTCTGTCACAGCCGGTCTTCCCTGACCCCAGCCCTTCCTCCCTGTCATTCTGCTCCGGTTTTCGGGTTTTTGGAAATCGGAAGAAGTTCCTGGGGAAGCCCCTCCTGACAACTTTATCCATGATGACGACAAACATCAACAGAGCGCACTAGAAAGCTTCCTATCCTCGCAGTGGCGAAAAAGGAACTGAAGGAAGGGAGACCCCACCATTGGAGCATGTGATGTGTTGGGTGGGAATCCCATACATACACTGGCTCCAAAAGGGGCTGGGTACTAGAAAGAAAATGTATACAGCCAACCTGGGGAGGTGCAGTCCGAAGGTGGGGTTGCACGAGAAGATGGAAGATGAACTACTGTTATGCTAATGCAGTTCAGGTGCCAAGACCATGAACATGGAATTCAACCGGATCGTAAGAAAGAGTGAAAAGTGTAACAGTACCATCCTAAGCAGAGTTGTACCTGGAAGCTTTGGCTTTTACAAAATGCAGCGGTGTACCTGCACAAACTGCATTGGTTGCCAGTTGAGTACTAGATCAGATTCAAGGTATTAACCTTCAAGGCCTTATGCAGCCAGGGACCAGCACACCTACGGGACCATCTCTCCCCATATGTCTCCCGAAGAGCCTTGCGCTCTTCTGATCAGCACCACCTAGCAGTCCCCGACCTGAAGGATGTCCGCCTCGCCCAGGGCCAGGGCCTTTTCAGCTTTGGCCCCTGCCTGGTGGAACATGTTCTTGGTTGAGATCAAGGCCCTGCGGGACTTCTTCCAGTTCTGCAGGGCCTGCAAAATGGAGCTGTTCCGCCAGGCTTTTAGCTAAGGCAGTAGATGTCCAAATGACACTAGCATTCTCTGCTCAACTCGATCAATCTGTTCAATCTGCATCACTTGCCTTAGGGCATTGTCTATACCAACTCGATGTCCGTACCAGCTGACTCTGGCTACTCTGATAGAAACGTGCCCTCCCTGACACTGTTGCAGTATGCAATGTAGTTAGGAATTGTTAAGCTGCCATCAGGTATCATTTTAAGTAATTTATTTAGATCAAATGATTTGATGTTTTATGAATTACTATTTATTGTTTTATCATATGTTGTGAGATGCTCTGAGCCAGCTTGCAGGGTAGGGTGGGATATAAACCAAAATAAATAAATAAATAAATAAATGCCCTTGTAAGGTCTTTGGACTCAATGGGCGCAGAAGGGTATAACTCTGCTCAAGATGGCACTGTAAGTCTCCCACAACCTCCTCTTGGTTTTCTACCTATTTATTTGCCAAGTGTTAATCATTAATCCTTCTACACACATTCTTTCATTGTCCTCATTGTGACACATGTCAAACTACAATCAGACTCAGCTTATTAAACATTTTAAAAACATAATTTTGATTACCTCAAACATTCTACATTTGCATCAACTCTTGACTAATCTTGATATATGGTCTGACAAACCATAACTGTTGAAAAACGTACTTTAAAATTGTCTCTATAATTTACACCTTCAGTAATTTTCCTATACCATTTTCAAATTCATTTCTGCAACTTTAATAACTAAACACCTATTTAAATTTAATCCCACCCCAGCCTTGTGGCATTTACAGTACCATTCTTGATTTCAGTTGACAACTGATAATAGCATCTTCTATGAACTAGCCTTGCCTTTCTCTGAAACACTTTAGATTGGCCATTGTCCCATCCTCTGATAATCTGTAAATAACACATCAATTACCTCTCAATAGATGCTAGATGCAGATGGGTAGCTGTGTTGGTCTGAAGCAATGGAACAAAGTTTGAGTCTAGTGGCACCTTTAAGACCAACAAAGTTTAAGTGTGGGTATAAGCTTTTGTGTGCATACACACTTCATCAGATACATCAGAAACAGTATTCCTCAGGCCTTACATATAGGAAGTGTGTGTGTGTGAGAGAGAGGGGGGGGGAGGTAGATATCCTTAATATTCCATACACCCTGCAAAACACTTACATGATTTTGCACTTCCAGATTTGAATTATCACTTGGGATCTCTTTGAGGGATTTTCTACTTATGGAAGTTCTCAATGGACTGCTTGAAATCCCCCTGTCAGATATTCCTTTGCAGGGCTCAGGTATGCTTCTAGGTGGGCACAAGCAGGGAGTAGGCAAAAAGCTTCTTTGATCTTTATCTGCTTTTTCGGTCATCACAGCCAAATTTCCTGTTCTTAGTGGCAAGTCTTCTTCACTGCTGTGCTTGGAATACCGATTATTTGCCCAGTGTTCAGGGCTCGTAGATGTAATTTTCACTGGAATTTCTTTAGTAATTACTGGTTCTGATGACCTTGATATGAAGTGTTTTGTCTGAATACTTGGAACTTCTTGCTCAAATTCAATGTAGCTATCATCCTAAGAATTAGAGAAAGAATATAAAATAAAAAGGTTTATCTTAAGGACCAATTCCCACCCACCAGCACTTTTGGAAATGCCTAAAATACAGGTTCAGATGTCTTTAAATTTTGTGTGCTTAACATCAAATCATCAGAATTTTTGAGCATCTTCTTATCTGATCAAAGAGAGATGCAGAATTAAGGGGCATCAAATGTTATTTGTCTCAAGGAGCACATGTCATAACTAGGACTTGTTTACATGTTCATTTATTCTGGGATACAAACCCATTTTAGTCTCAGAGCGTTTGTGCTGAAAGATTTCTCCCAAATATGAAGCACTCTAAAAGAGAAGGACAATGTCTCCTGACAATTAGGAACTAATAATTAATTAGTAAGGTAAGTAACAAGAACAAAAGAACCACAGCAAAAAAAAAAAAAAAAGCTTTATCTGTTTCCTGAGGCAATTCGTATTTCAGACTCCCAAGTAAGGATGGTAGCACTTATCTTTATTTTTAATCTGAAAAGCAAACATCTGGGAACCAAAGGGGAAGTGGAGGCATTATTTATTTAAAGCCCTCTGTTGCTGTACATTTACATGGCACTTTACAAACAGATTAGCTGTTAATATGGAATACACAAGGGGAAAAGTAAACACTACAGCATGAAAATGTATTGAGACATTTTGGGTTGCAAGGTTGTCTTTGATCTCCTTGGATTATAACCAAAAAGAAATGCAACTGGAAAATCATCCCTTTTCACAACACTCTTTCAACGAAAGATTGCGTACCATCAGTTTTCCAGCCTCTCTTATCGTTTTGCCCAATGATCCCTGCCATGGCACCCACTGATATGTTTCCAGGTGCCTGCTTTCTTGTTGAGTAATTGGGTCCTGAATGGAGAGGGGGAGAAAGGAGCTCTGGAGGCTCCCTACCAGCTAAATAGCAAAGAGCTGCAGTTGTTCCGGGCAGGTATACAACAGCTATGCACCTCTGGCTTGGTGACTGGAACTTCTATACGCGCTTTTGGTAGTCATAAGTGAACATTATATCGTGGTATTTTAACTAAAAAGGCAAGAAGGCATGGTGCTCATAAGATATTGTTTATGTCCTATGAGCAGCCTCTTGTGATTGCTAAACTTACTCAGGAGTCTTTGGTAAGGTACCTTTTTAGAAGGCTTTTGGAAGTCCAAATACATGATGTCTACATCATGTTAACCAGCTCAAAGAATTCCAAGAGGCTGGTAAGGCAGGACTTCCCTTTGAAGAAACCATGTTGACTTTCCCTCAAACAAACTTTGTTCCTCAATGGGTTTCTCTCTTTAATAATAGTTTCTACTAATTTAACTGCAACTAATGTCAGGCTAACTGGCCTATAATTTCCTGGTTCCCCTCTGCGCCCCTTTGTAAAAACTGGGCTGTTAAATATATATCTTGGTGTATTATACATATTGGGGAAAGATGTACAACACCTAATCACTCTGTATTATACATATTGGGGAGTGATGTACAACACCTAATCCTGGAGAAGTTGGACAGTAGGCAACAGAATCATAAGAAGAGCCCTGCTGCATCAGACACAGTGGCCAACCAATTCCTCTAGATGGCCAACAACAGGCAATAGAGGCCAAGGCCTTCCCTGATGTTGCTTCTTGGCACTGGGATTCAGAGGCTGACTGGTAGACCACTTGAATCTACCTAATTACCTTTTTGAAGATGTCTATGCCTGTGGCCATCGCTACATTCTCTGGCAGTGAATTCTACATTTTAATCACTTTCTGTGTAATGAAGTATTTCCTTTGTCCATCCTGAATCTACTGCTTATCAGCCTCCTTGGATGCCCTTGAGTTCTAGTATTCTCAACTCTCTCCACCCTGTGTATAGTTTTATAAATTTCTATCATGTCTCCCCTTAGTTGTCTCTTTTCTAACTGAAAGGTCCCAGACTGTTCAGCCTTTCCTCATAGGGAAGGTACGCTAACCTCCTAATCATCTTGGTTGCCCTCCTCTGTACTTTTTCCAGCTCTGCAATGTTCTTTTTGGGATATGGTGACCGTATCTGTATACCGTATTCCAAATAAGGATGCACCATAGATTTATACAGGGGTATTGTTATATCAGCTGTTTCATTTTCAATCCCTTTCCTAATAATCCCTAACACAGAGATGGCCTTTATTCACTGCTGCAACACACTGGGTTCATTGAGCTATCTATTATGACCCCAAGGTCTTTTCCCCTTTTGGTCTCAGACCCCACTAGCCTATACTTGAAGATGGGATTTTTTTTTGTCCCAATGTGCATCACCTTGCACTTACCAACACTGAACTTCATTTGCCATATTGTTGCCCACCCACACAGCTGTGGATCATACGGTTGCCTACTCACCCAATTTAGAATGACTAAACAGTGGTAATCATCAATGTTGTGGTGAGCAAAAAGGGCACTCATTTATTTAGATTGATAAACAACCTGATCATTCTTGGACTCTGGTGGATCTGTAGTGTGAAGGATTTCCACAACTGGCAAGGAGAGAAGCCTTGAAGCATGATGAGAATGCAATAGTTTATATAATTACGACTTAGAAATAACACATAGATTCTAAGATTATCATGGAGAACAGACAGAATACATTCTACTGAGGCAGGAAAAGTTCACATATTAAATATTTTATTGATGAAAAGTTTCTTAGACATTTTAAACCCCCCATGTCTTTCCGTAGCAGACTTTAAAAACCTCTGACTCTACCTCTCTCCGCACGACCTTCATCCTTCTATGAGAGACACATTCATCATAGAAAATATTTAATATTTCTTCATTCCTTTTGGTAATTATTTTATTAAGTTCCATATCTATTTTGTCTAACATACACAAAAGACTTTCTTTTGCCATACAGCTTCAAATTGTATGCTGTGAACTAATACTAATATAATTAGGCTAATATAAATTGGCAGATTGCTAAAAAAATTGCAATACCACATTTTAACTGACCTCTACCCTATGTCTTCGTACTGCACAGTAATACACATTTAAATTTCTATTTAATTTTGGTGTTTCGAATAATTTTTTTTCAGACTTACTCAATCATGCAACATGGCCAAGAACTTCAATAAAGTATGTCTGATTAACTGTAGCATGGCATAGGTACACTGAAGAGATTGATTTCCCCAAGGAGATGGCTCTTCTATTGCTGTACCACATTCCTTGAAAGAACATGCAGATGGGTATTTTGGACAATCATTTGTGAATACAGAAAACCATTGGCTCTCACTGAATTGTAATTTTAAAAAGATCATTCTTGAGAGGTGCCCACTTTGGAGCAGATGGGACTTAGTCCTTTTGTATCTAGATCTTTAATGTTGAGAAGCCAGAATTAACACACTTTGTAAAGAGAATGTGGCCTTATTCATTTAAATGTGAAAGTGAAGAGGGGCATGGAGAGTTTTGTAGATTAGGCAGCAATGCTCTACACAGCCCCATGGGCTTAAATCCTAGAAATTTTAATTACATCTATGCAGTACCTACAGTCTAGGAGTGCAATGAAAATGCAGGCTGCAGTAAACAACTAGCTCTACCAGCAAAATGGTCATATCTGGCTCCTTGGAATTTGAGGATGGGGAAAAGGCCAGTAAGAAAAAGTTCTCCTGATAGCTCAAGGCCAGCAAGCAAAGCTTGATCCAAAACTTTTATAGAAATCCGGAAATATCACCTTATCCTCTCAGGTCTCCTGATATAAAGAGGTGTTGTTGGTCTCCCTGTACTTCCTACCTCTGACCACAGCTGGGTAGTGATGCATAGGCTGAATCACCATGCTCTTTCTCACCCAAATGCCTTTAAGGTCGCCAGTTCAAGACCTCCTGCAGGACTGGGTCCTAATAAAAACAAACATTTGAGATGGGTTATTACTGCCACACCAATGTGACAGAATAACCCATTATATTGTTCTAGACCCAGAAACAACTTGCCCTTGTGCTAGTCTAGCAATTTACATTATGCTACTCTAATGGACAACTGCTATTATAGGCATATAGATCATTGTGGCGTTGTGTGAAGTCATTACAGCAATGAAAAACTAGAAGGGGGCTCAGATCTGCATCAAATGAATCAGCAAATGCTGTTTGTAGTAGTTTGATTACATTGCTATTAGAAGTGGCATATGCACCGAGCATGATAGGCCTGTTCCCAATGCAGTAAGATGAACCTGTAGCTGTCTATTAAATATGTAAATGCCTTCGATACAGGGCAGAAGAAGTAGCTGTGAATCTCATGGAGTGGTCAAAGAAAGATCCAGAGCATTCTTGTCTTCATAACAATATGAAACAGTCTTTCTTATCCACCAAGACATGCTTGGCAGAGACTGAATTGAAACTGAGTCTTCCTTCCATAAGCAACAAAAGAAAGGTAGACTTGTTCAATGACATATTTCCATTCCATTCCAACTGTGCTTTGTTCTCTGGCTACTCTGAGTTCGGTTCCAAAACATTTCCATAACATTTTATGGAACTTCTATATTCAGTAGTGTCTGGTCCTTCCTTCCCTGATGTCCAAAGACACCGGAGTTTGTGTGTGTGTGATTTTTGATTGTGCAGTTCCATGACCCTGTGTGTGCTTAATAACATAAGAGAAGCTACACTGGATCAGGCCAATGGCCCATCCAGTCTAACAATCTGTGTCACACAGTGGCCAGAAACCAGTTGCCACCAGGAGGTCCACCAGCGGGGCCAGACTCCAGAAGCCCTCCCACTGTTGCCCCCCCAAACACCAAGAATACAGAGCATCACTGCCCCAGACATAGTGTTCCATCTATACCTTGTCTAATAGCCACTGACGGACCTCTGCCCCTTAGGTTTATCTAATCCCCTCTTGAAGCTGTCTATGCTTGTAGCCACCACCATTTCTTGCGGCAGTGAATTCCACATGTTAATTACTCTTTGGGTGAAGAAATACTTCCTTTGATCTGTTCTAAACCTACTGCTCATTAATTTCAGTGAGTGCCCACGAGTTCTTGTATTGTGAGGAAGGGAGAA